AGGAAAGATAGAAGAAGAAAGAAAGAAGGAAGGAGAAGAGGAGGATACACCAAAGTAAGTGTCGCACACGGATCCCAGAGGGTTGGGGTCCGTGTGCGACACTCCGCCTTTGAAGGGGTTGCACCTTCTGCAGACGAAGCAGTGGGTCTATTTATATCCCCCCGACCCACTGGGGGTGTGGGTCTATTTATATCCCCCCGACCCACTGGGGGTAACACCACGGTAAATCTCACGCACATACATTGACATAATATAAATGAAAGCACAGACTTTTTGTGTCGTTGAACTACCATGGCAACAGATGGTGTAAAAAGAACTGAATTTATTACACGAGTTATTGCTATGGTGGTTGATCATTATAATTTATCCTACGAGTGAAATTGCTAAATTGTTACCACGAGTTTCAACAAGTGATTGACAAAACTGGCAATTTCTCAAGTGGGACAAAACGTGACCATCCATCCCAACGAGTGTAATAAAAGTTTTTATACCACACGGATAACAGCTTACAAAATAGATATCGACTAAAACTGCTCGACTAAAGAGTAGTATATCGACGCAATAATGGTCACTTAGTGAGGGAGGGGGGGAGACAGACAGGCAGAAATAACAGAGGTAAAGTAAAGAAGTCGAACCTACCAGTGGCGCCCTCCAACCACCCACAGCAAAGCATGCAAGACCACATCATATACATTACACTCTTGGAGAAAATCAGATGTATGCAGTTACTAACACCTGTGGACTATCATATACACAATTATGAGATGACTTTCATCATAGTGTCTTTCAGGTGCACTCAACCGCTTTTTAACGTTCAGAACAAGAAATCTGTTACACACCATGTAGACAGCTTACCAACTATTTTTATTTTCCCATCGCGCGGAGTTAAAGTAATGAACGTTATTACACATGTTTCCATTCTTCATTCAAAAGGGGAATGTGACATAAGATTTTAAAAAAATTTTAAAGTACTGTTTTGAGAAAAGGGTCATTGTACAGTCTAACAAAAAAACTATTTCATTTTCATGTTTGTGACCTACATCTTTACATGCCAGTAAGGTTTAAAACCAACATCAGCAAATCATCATTACTGTCAACGTGTATCACCATCATTTCCACAGGGCACGCCTTCTAATGTTTGTTTGGGGAGGGGGGGGGTTGTTTGTTTGTTTGTTTGCTTGCTTGCATGCTTGCTTGCTTGTTTGCTTGTTCGTTTGTTTGTTTGTTTGAGTAAACAGAATCACATCGACACAAAAATGGTCAGCTAGTGCTGGGAAAAGGTAAGACTGACAAGCAGAAAAAACAGAGGGAAAGTAAAGAAGTAGGGTCTACCAGTGGTGCCCTCTAATTAGCTCTTCTTCTAATGTTAACTTCGTCGACAAAATTAACGTTGATTGTCTTATTTGAATAAAAAGAGAAACACGTCGACATCATAAAGACCATTCTGTAACTTACAAGTGAAAAAGAGATAGAAACAGCAAAGAGAAAGAAAAGAAATAGGATCTACAAGTGGCGCCCCCCCCCCCCAGCCACCCGCGTGAGCAGCAATAATATTGCTTGCTTGTTTGCTTGAGTACAGAAAACTACACCAACACAATAAGACTATTAATAATGATAATAAATAGCATTTGTATAGCGCATATCCCCGCTCAACAGCAGGCTCTATGCGCTTTACACTATATTATTACCCCAGCAGCCCATAGAACACTCCGTAACATTCTCAGCTTCCCGGGAAGCATACAGTGCAAGCAGCTGATTAAGCGCCAAAATACTAACAAACAGACAAGATCTTTCGCTGTCTATAGCCGGGTACCCATTCCCACCTGGGTGAAGTGAGGAAAATGCGTGTAAAGTACCTTTCCCAAGGACACAACGTCGGGCCCCTGACGGGATTCGAACCCACGACCTTATGGTTGCGAGTCTGAGAGACAACCACTAGGCCACCGACTTATTGAAACGATAAATTAACGTATATAAAAAGATAGACAAAAACAATAGAGGGTAAGAAAAGAAGTAAGACATGCCATGCCAGTAGCACGAGCAAGCCACCCGAGACCCACCTTTTTTAGTTTTAGTAGAGGTTTTATGGCGCTCGCAACTGCATAAGGTCATATGAGCGCCAGAAGATTAGAGATGTTACAAGAGAGTAACAAACATAAAAAAAAGAAGAAGGGGAGATAAGGGCGATAGATGTTTGATAGGGAAAGAAGGAACATACCACACCAGAGCACCCGCCAACCACCCACAGACCCACCTTTGAGAGCCGTCAAAGCTAAGAAGGTCCCCATATTGGGCGCTTGAGACATGAGCAGTGTGGTCAGAGCGGAGGTGAGCCCCGCGCCCACAGTTATGACACGCACACTGTACCGAGGCATCAACACGTTAGCCGCAAACACACCTGGGGGATTGAAGAGTAGACAAGAATTTGTGAAACGGTATAGCCCCCCCCCCCCTTTGTCAACACTATTAGGTGGGACTTCCGAGTTTAGAGTTAAATAAAGAAAAGTATTCGTAATTTCACAGCACTTGCAGAATAAACATGTTACAATATTAGTGACGAAGATGAAAGAGTAACATATGAAGAAAAGAAGGAGGAGATATGAGGACGATAGAAATCTGATGTTTGACAGGTCGAAAGAAGGAGCAAACCACACTATTGCGTCCGCAGAACACCCTTGCTAAAGAGAAGCGATCGATCTATTATAGTTTATTTAGTGGATGGAGGAAAAAAGTAATACGGCGCTCGCAACTGCATAAGGTCATACGAGCGCCAAGGGGTGGGTGTCAACAGAGAAGTCTTTACAGGGAATCAGACTTAGACTGCTCACCTCTCTCGCTTCAACAGCACAAAGTCTGCTTCGACTATCAAGGCACCCCGGAAATGTGGGTCACAAGAGTGTGACAAACATACAAAATAAGTAGAGGAAAATGACGATAGTAAGGATTAGGAAAGAAAAAGCAGCAGTTCCCTGTTGTAGATCAGGCACAGTTATGAACGTGACATAAGTTAGCCCATTTACAATTCTGTGCATAAACGAGAAATGTCCCCCCTTTGGGAATGGCCTAAAGACACTTCAGTCAGTGGCACCACCCCCCGGTGGGGGGGG